AGAATAAGACCTTCACTTACGCTAGAAGCTGCAAATAGACTCTATAAAGCCATGGTCCTCCCGGTTCTAGATTATTGTGATGCTGTGTGGCATGAATGTGGACAAGGAAACAGTGACAAGATTGAACGACTACAAAGACGAGCAGCGAGGATCGTCTACTTCAAAGCTGCCTCAAAACTATCAACTGATCAAATTATGACTAAACTGGGCTTGGAACCTCTCTATTATAGAAGACGGACACACATTTTAAGATTTGTTGATGAGTGCATTGCAAATAGAGTTCCCAGATACCTTTCTAATTATTTCAATGTAAGAAACCGTGACATTCACCGCCACAAAACTAGAAATAATAATGACCTTATTTTAGAAAAAATTAATTTAGAATGCACCAAGCGCGCTTTTTTCTACAAAGGTGCAAAAATTTTTAATAATTTTTAATAATTCTTAGAATTTATAACTGTTCGATCTTTCGTTTAGTGTAACTATTTTGTAATATTGTAATTTGATTTTTATCTATATTTTAAATCTTTTTTATTTTTATTTATATATTTTTTTAATTTTTTACAGGACCTGCATTGATAGCAGTTTTTCCTAAAACTGAAGCAGCAATCCTGCATAAATATGTTTAAATTATTATTATTATTATTATATTCCTTCACTCACAGCCCTAAAAAGTGCTGAAATACATAAAGTGTGTGGATATCAACGGCGTTGAACTTCCTTTTCGACCAAATCTGAAAAGTCCATGCACCTTTAAAACGAGGCGACGAACTTTCCTGCCTCTTTCCAATAAGGACGCACCGCCCTCCCCCTCTATGTTGTGCGGCCTCCTTTATTTAGGAAATAGCGAAATAGAGCAAAATCATCCTATTTATTCATTAGGGATTGTGACATGGAAGTTACATTTTGAGCTTTTAAAAAACGATGAAGACCTCTAACCGGCCTAGACTTATCAATGGATTGACTGGACAGACTATTATATATTTTACATTATAAACTGAGCTGATATGTTCGCCCTGTTTGAGACAAGACCTCATTTAATTCGTTTTGTATTGCATTACATACAGAATTAAGTAATTTTTCAAACTAATACAATGGAACTTAATTTTTTTGAGGGTGCCACAAATGTAGACTGTTCGTATTCAGGCTTCACAATCTCACTGATGAAGGCTTCTGGTCCAAAAACACACCCTGTTGAAGATGAAATAGTAAAATTGTATACCCTGATGGAAAAAATTGCGGTTGCATTCGAAGTTATTTGGAACTTTAAAAACCATAGCATGTTCAGCGGCACATATCTGTCCAGGCCAAATAAGGGAGTGCCCCACCCCCGGATACGGACACGTATATAACGGACAGTTTCGCTTGTCCAGACAAAAAGTTCATACATTTTCTCTAAAATTTACTCGTTTAATACGGACACAGATTAATACGGACAACGGAAAAGCACTTTTCTGCGCTCCGAGTCACAATTACAGATTTCGTCCACCTCGATTTATAGACACTGGGTATCTGCGCACTGTCTATGACTTGAATTTACCGGTGGAAACAGAAAAAGTGAATAACCTTGAATGTTTTGTCTTATGTTCAGTCTACCTGGCTGAGGCGAAAACTAAAAGCGTCCGTATCAGCAGTAAAGTCATGGATTCTGTTGTTGTATTCCAAGACATTGCTTGATGTTTTGTTCTGATCGTGTGGCTTCTTTAGGGTGAACTGATGCAGTTTAATACCGCTAAGAAATTAAACCACGTTTTCTCGTAAAAATGTTTGCTTTAGTCTTTATAGCTTTCTTTAGATCGATAAAACATTTGTCCGTGACTTTTTTTTTCTGAAAGCAGAAGTTTAAAATTTCAGCAGCACTACCCAGATCTGGGTAGTGACGCGTCATCAGTATGGAATTTCTGCGCTCGTTTCTCAGACGTCACTTGGCGGGGAAACCAGTGGTAGCGTCGCCAAATGTCGGCTGTTTTCTCAGGCTAGCTTAGGCTCCTAAATAAAAAAAGGGGGCTCCTATTGGATCTTTTACGGTTATGATTTTGAAAAGGGTATTTTTTTTTACACAAAACGCAATTTAAACAACAGCTGTCTAAGGCTACAACCCCGCTCTGTTTTGGGTTCTTTCGGTGTCGTGTTGATGATGTCTTTCAAAGTTTATTTTCACGTCAGGTACAATCAGCTTTGCAGAATTCATGTGTCTACTTAAATAAGACTCACTATACTTATTCTACTTGATATTCCCTTTGGTCTAGCCCTTAAAGGACACCCTTTTTCAACACAGAAAAAGGCGCGAGTTCACATAGGGCAACTTCACTTTGTTACTTCTTTCAACTGGCCAGACTCATTTTGAATGATCATTTTCACTCACAATTAAGGCTGAAAATGAATTCAGCAATAGGACTTTGATTCAAGGAAAGAAAGAAGGTAAAAGTAACACCGGAACTGCATTGAACAAGACCGCAAGTATTGGTGTTATATAATGGATGATCTGCTACAACATGTGTGCGGTATTTTGATCCTTTTTGCAAAGATACTGGTTCTTCAAACCAAACCTCAAAACCGTAACATTCACATGACCTGTGGAGCTTTGATACAAATGTTCCCCCTGTGGAGGCAAGAACGCCATCTCGGTCTGTCTCGAGATAAAGAGTAAGTAAATGAGAGCTGTCCTTTTCCCCAAACAAGTACACTCCGTGAAGCTGTATCTCGCAATCCACAGTAAAAGTCAGAGGTGATGGGCTGCTACTGCGAATCACATCAAAGGTCACGGAAGAATTATACCTAAGGCAACGTTTAAAACGGCTGGATCTTTTAGTCTTTGGGAATCCTACCGGACGATTTTCTACCGAATTTATGTCCGCTTTGAAAATGACTTCACCTAGTCTAAGAATTCCGCTTCTGAGGACAAATGAAAATTCTTCTTCTGTCATTATTGGAAAATGTATTGATTTTATGACTCGTTCTCCAAGAAGTCTCCTTTTCTGTTGCCCGTCTGCCACTATGCCTTGTTCTTCGAATTTCTTTGTTGCCCATTCTATGACCCTATTGAACAATTCCAGCTCGGCGATGTCTAAAGTATTTCGTTCCACCACAGCTTCAAGTAACGACCTGTCGATCGTCGCAAAGCTTTCCGATTTCATAGCTGCTTCCGCGTCTTCGTCGATCACTTTCCAGCACTTATCCACCAGTATCTTCTCGTCATATGTTTGAGCACATGGCAGGACGTTGAAAACATTGGATGCATCTAAATGTCCAAAAACATATTTCACACACTTATTAGCTAGTGAAGGAACCATGTATTTCTTAGCTAAGTAGAGCACTTTCATCACATTACTTCCGCTTAAGTTCACTTCATCGCTGTACATGTAGCGAAACAACTCAAACAGACTTTCGTAATCGCAATCAGGCAGTTCGATAGTGTGTCCAGTCTCCACCAGTTTACCGTAAAACATGGCCTTAAAAACAGGGCTGCTAATCGCCAGAATAAACTTGTGAGCTGGAATCATTTGTCTACTTTCGTTTTCACCATCACCGTCAAAAACAACAAATTTGACGTCGCTCAAATGATCCTTGTTGAACATAAAGGATATTCTTTCTTTGATGGTGGGTCTTGGTGTTTGCCAGTTTTCATCGACAATTTCCATGGTCCTTTGTGATACCTACAGGACTGCTCAATAAGGACAGAACGTTAATTAAGTTACTTAGTGAAAAGGCTGTACGCTTACTTGAAACGTGACTGAAACATTCAGTCACATCTTCAGTATTGATCATTAGGTCACCTGAGACTTGCCCACAATTGATCATGCAGCGACGATGTCCGTCGCGAAAACTTCGGAGACGAGATCGAGGCTTTGCGAGAAGTCATGTTGTCCTTTCTGACCGACGACCGAGTCAAAATGGATCATAGAGTTTGGGTGCTACAAGGCGCCCCGCCCTGCCTTGCCCCTCCCATTTTCTTAGGGAAAAACTCTGGCGACGTCGTTGAGGCGACGCCCTTCCTCCTACACCATCGTGTTTGACTTACCTAGTCCTTGTAATTTTGCTTTACTCTGTTAATGTCTATTGTTTAAATGCTTTTTTGTAGTATTGTAAATGTAATTAATGTGAGTATCAATAAATATATTTTAAAAAAAAATAATCTGACGCACTTTGAATTTGAACTCCTTTAGAGTGTCAAAGACCTCAAGTCCTCATTTAGTCCATTCCACATGACATGTTGATGCGAATCTAATAATAATATCAAGGAAGATTATTATCTGATAAAAACAGAATTTTCATCTAATAGTAGTCACCCCCGCGAAAATGATTTGTGGGACATGGTAGGTTGATTTAGAAAACTTTGCAAACCTCTGGAAAATTTCTAGCTAAACGCCTGGTCTCGACTTCGCGGACGTTGACCTACAATTTTAGAGCAGAACTAGCCTGCTGCAGACGATAACTAAACTCTGATTAGTACCGTCTGCGAAGCAGCGCAGAGATCCTTGTTCTGGACCCCCAACCGACTCAACGAATTACCGGAAGTGCGTTTCGAATTCCCCTTCAACCTGTTTGGCTATTATCAGTCTTGCGACAAACAAAACAAGGTCTTTTTTAACTGGCCAATCGTGGTGCGTACTCAAATCTGGGTACACAGCTGGAAGTCCAGAACAAGGATTTCGGCGCTGTTTCGCAGACGGAGTTAATCAGAGTTTAATTTCGTCTGCGCGCAGGCTAGCGCAGAACTAGCCGAAGACAGTTTTGCTTCAATCCGAGTGTTGAAAAGCTGCTACCTTGATTGCAGGCTTCATTACAATCATATGAGAGCAGCACTGGGTATATCAACACCGGTCAGCCCCTGCAACACAGCTGTTTTTAGTGTCGTCACGCAACGCTCCTCCCCGCTACCTTTGGGGAGGAGCGTTGCGTGACGACACTAAAAACGGCTGTGTAGCAGACTAGTACCCCAAGGACCTAAAATCGTTTCCTAGTGGAAACATTAAACTAGTAGCTGTCGAGGACTCGCAGTACGACTTTAAAATTCGAAACGCTTTAGTTTGGGTAGCATGGAAAAAGCTTGAAGAAAACTATGGCGCTCATGAACCTTCAAAACAGTTTCAAAATCTACTTGAAATCTACTCAGTCGTTAGTAGAGAATTAACTACTCTATGGTTCAGAAACCTGGACATTACCGTATTTAATCGATTAAACGCCGAGGCGTTTATTAAATTTTAGCGTTTCCAATTCGGCGTTTATTCGAGGGCGGCGTTTATTTCGAAATCACTTTTTTGAAATCAATGACAACCGTTATTGTAAATCGTTTGTAAATATTATTTAATCTAAAGGTTCCAGTGTCTCTCTTAGTTTGCTGAGATAGAATCGTCAATGTCTGAATGGTGTAAATTACCAAGTTGTACCGACGTTTTTCTTATTATCCTCGCGTAAACACCGCATTCTTCTGATTAGGTGCGGCATTTATTCGACGGCGGCGTTTATTAATATTTCTGCTCTAAAATGCGGCGTCTATTCGAGGGCAGCGTTTATACGAGGGCGGCGTTTAATCGAATAAATACGACGAACAGCAATCATGACCAATCTTCTTCGCAGAATTAACCACAAAACTTTCAATGGACTGAGCACTCAACATAAGATACAATATTTGGGAATACTGCATGGGAGTATTCGCTTCTCATGAGAAAGCAGCCGACATTTCGCGATGCTACCGGCACTGGTTTCCCCGTGAAATGACGCATCTGATGAACGAGCGCAGAACTGAATTCCATACTGATGACGTGTCATCACCCAGATCTGGGAGATAAACAAAAATTCAAGTCGTCAGCAGAAGACTAGCACTGGTTACAGGTAGTGTTTTGTCAGATTTTTCTCTGGTGAGGATTATTGGGCGCGGTGAGGTTGCCAGCCAGGTCACATTGCCGATACAACAAGCAGAAACAAGTTATGACTAAGAGCAGCGCTAAAACTCCTAAAACCCAACAACTAAGCGAGTGGTGCCAGCCACTGGGTTTGGCGGAGAGTAATTAGACGAGCTGAGAAACAACGAAATACGGTGAAGGCTGGCCGCAATATATGTTGGTAAAAGGGTATCTCCGGGGGGTATCTATTCTATTCCAGGATTATTACAATCGTTATGATCAGGATTTTCTAACTAGGATAAAACCAGGTGTATTCTGATAACCTCTTCTTCTGATGGACATATCTCCTTCAGGGAACAGATTGTATTCGTTTTACTTCTAGACTGCAAAACAGTTGTTTTTTTTTTCTCAAAATCGTAGCGTAAGAATAGGTGTTCGCACTACTTATAACGAAAAAAAATACGGACTGTTTTGCAGTATATTTTGCTTCTAGGTGAGTCTGAAAAACAATCGCTCGGAGCACGTCACCCGAAACTTATAGGCCGCGCCATCGGCTTCTGGCCGGGAGGGATAATGTGGCCTAGGGCTTAGACAAGGTGACACCATCTCAGTACTAATCTCAGTACACTTTCTGTAGAGAGCAAGATATCATGAATGCGTGAAAATTAAAGCTATGTCCTCTTTGACACTATCAGTTAAGGTGTTTCGATAAAGTTTTTTAGAGGCCATACCGAAATTTTTCAATCGCCTTAAAAGTGTTTTTTTCCTTGTCCGATCGCTATAAAATTTTCACTAGTAATTGGCTATGGATTGAAATTTGTGAAAATGTAGTTATAAGTAAAATCGATGTTACTATGACAACAACAAACAAAAAACGTCCCTTCACGTAATCTTCATAATCCTCTCGGAGCAAGGGAGAGAACCAACAACAAACTCAACCCACATATGTATTCGAAGCTGGGATTTGAATTCGGGCCACACTGGTGGGAGGCGAGCGTTCTCACCACTGCGCCACCCTTTCCACCCGGTTGACGTGCATCGCTCAAAAACGTTGCTACTTAAGCTCCCCAATTTATCTTGTAAATAGCTATTATTTTAATTTTTTTCTTCTTTCCTAATTAATAATATAATTATCTTGTGCATAGCCGGCTGATATATTGTAACTTGGTTTAGGTGTCCCCAATCACCAGCAATCACAGAGTGATTTTACTTGAAAGGTAAAACAGCTAATAACAACTAAGTGCAAAATAGCTACAAATAAACAAAAAAAGACGATAGAATTAGTGCGTAATAGTGCGTAGTATTTCACTACCTATTTCACGGGTTAAGTAAAATTACTTTGTTGACACCTTAATAAAGTTATATTATTATTCATTCAAAATATTTTCCCACTTCTGATTGGCTAAAAGCACACGTTTAATTCACCGTAACCAGTTACTGATGACCCAGCCTGGAAGAATTTTGTGTTTAACGAGGAAATGTCGTCAAAAATGCAGCGTTTTCGCAGGTTAAGGCACCGTTAACCGAGAAGACCTGGGGACGAGGTTGAGTTGTTTTCGTTGTGAACTTGAAGAATGGCGAACATTTCACCGGTTTCAAGAGTAAGAACTAGGCGAAAAAAAGCTAAAAACATGGCAAGAACAGCAAGAACACAACTCTAAGGGCGACATCTGCTATTTGGAGAATATTTGCGGAGCTGGACAAACCTAAACGTGCACTATTGAAGATGAACTTAACATCGATGGATCGGTGGAGGTAAGCATGTTTTAGCCATGTTTTTAAACTAGGAATTATTTTGAATGAATAATAAAACAATTATTGAATTCGGCTTTCGTATCATATAAAGAACTGTGGAGATCTAGGAGGGTGTTATCCGCCTCGGCCTACGGCCTCGACGGATAACACCCTCCTCGATCTCCATAATTCTTCATAAGATACTCAGCCTCATTCATTAATTGCTAAATAATAATAATAATAATAAAAATTATTATTATTATAATAATAATAATAATAATAATAATAATAATAATATCGGTGGAGTGTTTTCACAACCGGCTTAATTCCCTAAACAATTGGAGTTCCTATCCAATTTTTGTAGAAATCCGTGTATCAGTGTAATATTCTGGAAAACTGCTCATCTGCCTCATCCACTAGTGAGGGTAATTAGCAGAATTATCTTGCACCTTAAGAAGCCACCCTAATTCATCTTCGTTCCTTTTCAATACACTGATAGCCGTGGCCATTCAATTATACAAGGCTTAGGGCACGTGATAAACTGACAGTTTCTTAAAAACTCGTTCAGTTCTACGTTAAAAGTTTGTAGTGTGACTACGCCTATATTGTGCACTGTAACAGCGGGTCAATTACGTCGACTAACTCAGCACATAAAGCGACATAAACTGCAGTCAATTAATCCGTTATTCTTAGCGACAAAGATTCCATTTAAATTCAAACGAGTGCAAGAACTGCTTTAAAATTTAGCTGTTAGTCATAACTTGGGCACCTTCTTCGTATACAGTAAAAACCCGCGACAATTAAGAACGTGCATTTTCCAAAGTCAGCCGGCTAAAAATGTTCTTACATATATTGCCAGTAATTAGCACAGATTAGGCTATGTAAGTTTTTAAATAGGTTGTTGTTTTGTTAAGAAAAAAAAAGTTCATTGAAGGTAAGAGTATTTAGCTGTATATTCAGGTTATTCCTTATATAAAATCTGCTAGGCTGCGTAGCAAACGTTTCCCGGTTTTCTCGACGAACTCGCGCGAAAACGCTTGCTACGCAGGCTAGGAATCTGCATATCATTGTTATTGCAGTTGGAGTGATAAGACACCTGTGTCTTCAAAGAGGATTCCGAATGTTAACTTATCTTATATGCCCAAGTGTACAGAATTGTTTTATAGATTTTAGAGAATAGCAACCTGTTTCAAATTTTAGCCATTACGGGTTCTTTTATATAGGGGACCTAACTGGCAAATTTTACCCTAACAGGTTCTTAAAAACGAGGTTCTTAGTTTACTGTAATCTATTGTAGTTACCAGGATACTTGTACTTCTTTAATTTCTTAGTATTTCTACGAATTGTTTTTTGACGGAATAAGGCTGTAAATGAACTCCTTAATTTGTCCTTGTTTAGTAGTGGTTCTTAAGGATGAATACCATACGCGGGTGTTTTTCAAGGAAAATGTAACACCATGGCAACAGATAGTTTGGTGTCCTTCAGTACCGTACCAGGACTGAGGGCCGGAAATTCTACATTCAAGTTCATATTCATCACCTTTTCTCAATAAAGCTGGCTCTTTAAACGTGACAACAAAGTCGTAGTCACTAGCTTCCGTTGCGCAGGATGGAGATGAAAATACACCATCTACAGAAGCAAGAACTTTTCCATCTAAGTCCTTGATAAGCGAAAGGGAAACAGAGTATGTATTATCCCTACTACCGAACAATTTCACCCCATGAAAGATTATGTCGCGGTCCACAGAAATACCCAGACAGGACTTGTCTGATTCTGAATTATTCCAACCAAACTTTATCGAGCTTCTAGTAAATCTGCAACAGGATTCGGAGTGGGAAGGACCCGATCGTTTGAAAACTGGAAAGTTTAAAAGAGAACTTTGCATTAAATTACACTGATGCTTAATGATAGCGTTGACCTCGTCATAGGTGAGTATTTCAGTGTCAAGTACCACAGAGGCAAAATTTTTCCGCTCCATCGCGGGAAACCGTATCGCTTTCACGATCCTTTCTCCGAGAATTTCTCTTATTTCTTGCCCGTCTGCCCTCACTAAGCCTTCTTTTTCCAATTGTTTTGTTGCCCATCTCATTAGTCCTTTAAACAATTCTACTTCGGCAATATTCAAAGTATCTCTTTTTACTATTGCTTCAAGTAAGGTTCTCTGAATTGTGACAAAGTCATCCGATTTCACGACAGCTTCCGTTTGTTCATCGATAACTTTCCAGCATTCCTCTTCCAGGCTTTTCTCCTCATACGTCTGAGCACATGACAGGATGCTTAAAACATTCGATGAATCTAAATTTTCTTTGAGATATTCTGTGCATTTATCGGAAAGTGAAGAGACCATATATTTCTTAGCCAAATATAGCACTCCCATCACATTACTTCCGCTTAAATTCACTTTATCACTGTACATAAAGCGAAACAACTCCAGTAGATTCCCATAATCACAATCGGGCAGTTCAATAGTGTCTTTGGTCTCCGCCAGGTCACCGTAAAACATTGCTTCAAACACCGGGCTACCAATCGCCAGTACAAACCTGTGAGCTGGGAGTACTTGTTTTCTTCCACTAACATCATCGACGCTTTCTCGAACAAGAAATTTGACGTCACTACAGCGATGGTTGTTGAGCATAACCTTGATTTTTTCTCTGATGGTTTTATATTTTTCTAATTTCATGAGAGACATGATTTGTTTAAAGTGGAGTATACAGGTCAAATATGTCTGACCTACTAACAAGCAATGCGTCTAAGAATTATTCGTGCGATTCAACATGTTTCAAGCCATTACGGAAATGTGCTGTCAGTAACGGTTATAATTAGTAATGGAATTTTTGATAAGCACGTGATCGGTAATAAATTATAATAAAAGCTCTCTAACTGAAAACCGACATTTACGTTTTTAAAGTAAACTACAGAAATAATGAAACCGAAAGTTTATATTTGAAAACTCTATCCAACCTATTCCAGCTAACCTTCGATCTTAAAATTCATGCAAGTGTATATAAAACGTGTTACTACATACAAAAATTGCTTTGTCATCGAGAAACGGCGATTTTTTTGCGGCCGTGCTGAGACGAAACGCACAATATCGGAAAACACTTATAACCTGCGTAGTTGGCGGTGTCAGTCACATTGGCTCAATCACTATCCAAGCGTGTCTTTCCC